GCTGAGTCATGTCCTTGGCCCCTCCAAGGCACCCCTTTGACCATATGCATATATACACGTGCATGTGTTTATGGGTATTTCCATATAGACAGACAGGGAAGCAAATATAGGACTACGGATCTCACAAACAAGAGGCACCAGCAAATTCATTTCCCACTCACACAATGCCAAGGTCTCCTGAAAGTGAAAAACCCTGGCATTCTGCAGTCACATTCGTATGGGATTCCCTGTCCTGGTTCATACTCTTAGACACGTGCATTTCTGTAAGTCAGTGGTTACTCCAGTGCCTCACAGACTATTAGGTTTCCCTTCTTAAGTAAAAAACCCACACTGTCATGTCTAGCGCACTGTACAACAATGTAAACAACTGTTCAGCTTTAACTAACATTATCTTGATTGTATTTAAGCACACAAGCCTTTTCTAGGAAGACCCAGGGACGCCGGGGGTGCGCTAGCACACCATGGAATATGGCTGGGGGTGCGTTAGCACACTATGGAATATGGCTCAGCAACACTTCTCGATACTGAACTCCAATCTTTGCATGCACACTGCCAATACCAGGCCTTATAGAAGCCACTCTCATCCCAGTGAATTTTGATACAAGTCGTGATCCTTGCTGAATTAATATGAACATGGTATCACTTGATAGATTTTACAAGTCAGTAAACAAAGGAAAAAAGTGAATGCTTTGCATGAAAAAGTTTAAGGAATAATATTTGAAAAGCAACTTATAAACTCTGACATGAATACACTAAAAAAAAAAATTCACATGAGCATATCAGTACACGTGACAAAGCAGTCAACAGAATCCAGTGCCCACCCATGATTAGAAAGAAAACAAAACTCTTGGTAAGCTGGAAAGGAGGAACTTAGTGACAGCTGGTGTGGGACTAAAGTGAAGTGCCTGCAGCTCTCCTTCCGAGGTCAGAAACAAGACGAGGATGTCCCCCATCATCGCTTTGCCGACTGAGTTCTGGACAGTGTAATCAGACACGAAAATGAAATAAAAGGTATACAGATAGGGAATGAAGGAATAAGCTACCTTTATTTGCAGATGATACACCAAAATTTTGAAAGAATTTTTTGTTTGTTTGTTTTAAAAAACCCTGGGCCTGACAAGCAAGGTCAAAGCTGGCTGTTCCCATACATCCCCCGACAGACAAGGAGGGATTTGGAACGAAATCATTGTCGTCAATGCAAATTGAAATATTTAATACAACTTGATTTATAATTCGACTCCAAAATGAAATCTGACAAAACAAGTGAAATATTCATGTGACAAAACTATAAAACCACACGTGTGCTGAAAGGAAGTTTTTGAAAGAACTACGCAGAGAGACTGTGCTCACACAGCGGGATGCAATTCTGATCCTGATCAATCGACACACAAACGAGCTATTTTGTGGCTACTGACAGTGATTCTGAACACAGCACTAATGAAGACTGAAAGTGGAGCCTAGCGCTCCCCGATGTGGAAACAGGGACACCAACAAGTTAGCGGAACAGAGGGCAGAGGTCAGAGGAACAGAGGGCAGAGGGCAGAGGTCAGAGGAACAGAGGGCAGAGGTCAGCGGAAGAGAGGGCAGAGGGCAGAGCTAGACCCCAAGGCCACACAATGGAGAACAGACAGCCTTTCCTACATATAGGGTGGAGTTACTGAACAGCCAAGTGAAAGACCTTAACAAACACCTCTCTAAGGAAGATGCTAAATGGCAAAACCAGAAAGATCCTCCACTTCGGCAGTACCTGCTAGAGTGGTCACACCCAGAACAACGACAACTCCAAGTGCTGTAGAAGATGCAGAGGAACAGGGACTCTCACCACAGCTGGAGGGGACGTTAAACCACGCAGGTGCTCTCTGAAGGCAAGGTGACATCTCCTACAAAATGGTTCTTGCCATAGGGTCCTGAATTTACTCAAGAGTGTGGGAAACAACCTGCAGGATTTTACAGGAACATCATACAGAATTGAGAAATGATTGCTTAACCAACATGTCTGTAAGTAGGTGAAGGGGTGAGTCAAATAGTCATTGCTAATAAGAAAGGTGCTCTCTTTTGTTTTTCCAAGCCAGGGTCTTTCTTTATAACAGCCCTGGCTGTCCTGGAATTCACTCTGAAGACAGGCTGGCTTTGTATGTACAGAGATCTGCCTGCCTCTGCCTCCCGAGTGCTGGGGTTAAAACCATGTGCGACCACTGCCTGGTAGGAAAGGTTTTCTTAAGATACATACACACACAGAGGAAACGTAAGTGTGTGTTGCAAAGTGAAAGAAGCCAGTCTGAATACATCCTATACAATTCCAACTACATTCTAGAGGAGGCAAACTACAGCGATCGGAGGTCACCAGAGGCTCAGGCAGGGAAAGAGGAATCAGAAGGGCAGGGAGGATTGTTATGACCACTAACATTCTGTTCTGTATGGTCCTGCACTGGTGGATACACATCATTACACATCTGTCAGACCCACAGAAATAGAAGAAACAAGAGTGAACCCTGGGGTAAGCTGCGGACCTGGGTTCTAATAATGTGTTAATACAGGGGCATCACTGCTACTAAAATGCCACTCTAATGATTAAATAAGTCAAAACCACTCTTTGGCAGGATGCCAATATGAATCCAGAATTCTAAAATATTTGTATCTTTCCTCTCAGCAGTTTCACTTCTAGAAGCTGACTGAAGTGAATTATTTTTACACAAGAATATCCGGAATTATTGATACTAACACACAAAAATATCACATGCCCGCCAGAGCTCCTACAGTCAATAAATGATGCCCCGCACAGTGAGCAAAGCCAGAAACCTGGTAAACTCAACTCTGAGTCTTGCTCGCCCGTATCTGCACCTGCCACCCGGCCTGCCGCTCACACCTCTCAAGTCTGTCCACATGTATCCATTCACTGGCCTTCTGAATCCAGGCTATCTTCACGCCATGCCTGGACTGCTGGGGTCCCCCCTGCTTACCTCCTATCATCTACTTCACCCTCCATCACAGAGAGCGATCCCTGTAGACTGAAAGACACTCTGATGTCATTTCCCAGCTTGAAAATCTCTAACTGCAATCAGGACTCCTTACTGGGACTTTCAATGCCTTCTCAGAATGATGCCCGTCTGTGGTTTTTATCATATGGCCCAGGGCATGACATCATATCTGAGTGGCCAATCTTTGTGTCACCTTTTATGAAGGCCTTTTGGGGATAGTCATCCTCACCCTTCAGTCCTCTCCCGGGACAATGACCATGGCCATGCGGACGTGCCCCTGAGCTTCAGTTCCCTCTAACTACCGCCATCGCTCGGCTTTTCTGCCCCACAGGCATCCGGAATCATCCATCGGACGTGGAGTCTGTCTCTCTCCCACCCGCTCACCAGCCTCTCTTGCAAACAGCACGAGCATGCTCTCAGTGGCCTGTGCTCACTCCCGGGAACCCAGGAACCCACTTCGATTCTCCTCCTGCCCCCCCTCATTTCTATGTCCCATCTACATGGCCTCCCAAACCTGTCTCAAACTATCGGCTTCCTCCATCCCCAGGATCTTCATCGTTCTTCAAAACCACCTAGTGTTCTGCTTTGGCTGTTTTGATAGTGGCTTCCTCCCTCCCTGCTTGGCACAGCCTCCCCAGTCTACCTCTACATACTGGGGGGGGGGGGGGGAGTCTTGGTTTTTTGTTAATGCTAGTTTTGGATCTGAGTGATGTCTTTTTGGGGGTATGTATTTTTGGGCATATCATTCAATCTCTCTAATTCTTGTCTTCCTTAATTATAAGCTGGAAAGAATACGCTACACGGTGGTGTTAATGATGAAAAGAGGGAATCTAGATAAAGTCAGAGGACGGGCACTCAGACATACCGTGAGTGGACATATAGACTGCCAGACAACATTTAAAAGACATGGTTATCACGTATTCTTAGTACGGTGTCATTAGTATCTCATTGGAAATAACAGGAATGGGGCGGTACATATTTGAAACTCCAGGAAAAACGTAAAAAGGTGCTCTGAGCAGATGATACAATGCAGAGCTATCTGCCTCCCGATGGCGGTTAGTTCCAGGTGTCACTTGTCTAGCTAAACACCAGTCCAGATGTTCTAAGCCGATTTCTATAGAGAGCTGACGTTGTCAGTGTTAAGTAAAGGAGATAACTGCCAGCCATATGCATGAACGCAGCCACTCGGTTGACCTTAAGAGCAAACACTGTGGTTTCCCATTGCCAATCTTTCTGTACTGTCCTGGGGACATCCGCCTTGCTAGTGCCCAAAGCGTGTAAACTGGTTCCTTAAAAATTCTCTCCTTCTCTCCCTCCCTCTCTCTCCCCCTCCTTCCTTTGCCATACATTCTACTTGCAGTAATGGCACATATTCTGTTTTCTTTGGAAAACCCCGAATGACACACATGCCAAGGAGTCTCACAACGACAAGAGGAATAACAGCCACCAATACACCTTTAAATGTCTACAGGCAGAGATTTTAGACTGGAATAAGAAGTCGAGTCATGGGGCTGGAGAGATGGCTAAGCAGTCATGAGCATATATTGCTCTTGCGGAGGACCTAAGTTTGGGTTCCAGGACCCATGTCAGGTGGCTCACAATTGCCTATAATTCCAGCTCCCAGGGATATATACCTCTGGCTTCCAAAGGCACACACACACACATGTGCACACACACACACAGACATACATACACATTATTTAAAAAAGAATTATATCCTCTTTTCCCCTTCCAAACGTACCAGTCAGTTTAGTAGCATAAACTCTAAAGGAACTAATGAAGATAAAGAGACTTCACGTGGGAACAGTACTTGAGTTCTACGTGTCTGGTGAGAAATAGTCCCAGGCTGTCCGTGGAACCTGCACTCACCTGCTTCGCTTCCTAATGAGAAAACATCTGTTAAACATCTCTGCTGACCAAGTGTTTTCATTATCTTCAGCAAACTACAGGGCCAGGCATTTTCAGAGCTGCTATGGCTCTTGTGTCTAGCACAGCATTGGTGGCTGGTGGGCTGCACCTTACCCGCGAGAAATGATTGACAGCAGCATCGTGGAATCCCAGGGCTTGCTCCACACCTGCCAGTTCCCTTAGTACTGGTACACACTCGAGACTGTTTTCATCTTTGACGGTCTCAGTATATTCCAAAGCCTTTTGATAGTAGGGCAAAGCTTCTTTTGATCTTTTCTGACCTTGATACACCCTAAAAAAAAAAATAAATCAAACAAAACAAAACCAAAACACAGAAGGATTATTTTGAAATGAGTTACCATTCTAACCCTACTTGGCCTGACAGGGTTTGCCTCTCGGACCCTGGAGCCCAGGTTTGCTTCCTTGAAAGCTACGCTTTTCCTCCAGAAAGAAGCAGAGCAAGACGGTCAGGAGGGTTGATTCTGGACTGACCAGAAAGGCTTAAGTACTGGCTTCCCATTTACCAGAGTCATGGCTTCTAATCACCTGCAAGCATCTTCCTCACCTATAAACCAAGAGTAACAACAGTACTAGGAATGTTAAATTAGCTCATGGTCATGAAAATAGCCACTAGAGCCTCAACACCTAGTAAGAGTTCTGTAGGTGTTTTAAGGAAATACGGCGTCTCAGCGATGGCAATCATACAGGATGCTGAGTTTCTGATAACTGATCTGTTTAGAAACTGTTGGACAATTTGGACAACGTATGGCGCTGGACAAAATGGCGCACGCCTTTAATCCCAGCACTAAAGAAGCAGAGGCAGCAGGATCTCTGTAAGTTCAAGGCCAGCCCAGTCTATATGGTGAGCCAGAGCTCTGTGGAGACAGAGTGTGAAAAAGTAGAGGGAGGGGCGAGGCGAGGGAAAGGTTGAGAGATGGAGGGAAGGAGATATTTTTTCTAGTATTGGTGATGATATATTAACTTTGGGACGGTTATAATTGAATAAAAACTCCCCAGTACCAAGATGACGCACAAATATGAACACCCCCCCCACACACACACAACACTAATCCTGCTGATGGCACAGGGATTTATCTTGAAGAGATGTTCAGCATGACAGGAGAAACACACACGAATTTTTACCTTAGTTTTGCTATAAGAATGGGGGAAAGTACGAAGTACTTCAATCCCACCACCAGGAAACAGTCCATGCAAGTCACAGCAAGCGTATACTGTAGGATGCCTGAGAGCCATTGAAGTGAATGCTCAACTTCATTAGCCCAGACACACAAGCGTTTCGTGGTCTTTTATAAAACAGCAGGTTTTGGAGCTATTTTGTGCATCAGCTGCCACATGAGAGATTTTTATAGCTAATCTGTATGGCAAAACAGCACAGAGAGATGTCACAGAGATGGTCATGAGGATGTTAGTGATCATTCTCACTGAGCAAGTGAATTGGGAATGGTTTACTATTCTTGCTTATGATTTTTTAAATTTCCCAAAGTCTCTTTTATATAACTGCTAGCTCTCGCTATATATAAAATGCTAGCTTAACATTAAAAGTAGAGGTGACAATGAGAAAAGTCTGTTTCTTAGGACAATGTCCTATACGCTGGTTAGCAAGCAGGATAAGTGACATTTACAATATTAGTCTTCAAAATATTAAGACAATTAGAAATGTTTCTCTCATGGAATAACTTTAGGTCCAATGTTATTTTTTTTAATGCATGCCTGTGCTCTAACTGCATGTACACCTGCAGGCCAGAAGAGGGCATCAGATCCCATTATAGATAGTTGTGAGCCACCATGTGGTTGCCGAGAATTGAATTCAGGACCTCTGGTAGAGCATCCAGTGCTCTTAACTGCTGAGCCATCTCTCCAACCCAGGTCCAAAGCTCTTAATGACATGGATCCCTCCTATGTTGCTTTCCACCCAGCAGTTTTAGTTCAGAAGATGCTTCAGCACCCATGGTATGGGTGAACAGACACAGCAGGCAGGTCTCACTGCCACTCAGCCACAGTAGATTTCTCTCGTATGACTGCAGTGCAAAGGAATTAACTGAGAGAAGGAAAGACACTTCTCAGATCTGGGGTCTCAGTGGCCATGATAAGATAAAGGGGGCGGGGTAGTTCAGTGGTTAAGGTCAAATGCTGCTCTTTCAGAGAGTCAGAGTTCAGTTCACAGCACCCACAGTGGGTGGTTCACAGCTCAGTTCCAGGGGATCTGATACCCTCTTCTGGCCTGGGAGGGCACTGGTGTGTGTGTGTGTGTGTGTGTGTGTGTGTGTGTGTGTGTGTGTGGACATGTGTGATATTAAAATTTAAAAATGTTGACTGAATAGCCTGTGAGTGTAGATGTCGTCTATAATCAGAAAGAGGCCCAAAAACAGGGAGAGGTCAGGGATAGATACATGCTTGGGATCAAGCAAGGGAAGAGCTCAGAGCAATTCTGATTTGGGAGGAAAGAAAAAACGTTAAGGGGCAAACCAAGCGAGTTTGACCTTTGCACTCTTGATAAGCTTGACATGTGTGTGTCATCATTATCTTTCCATATTGTATGTTCCTCAGCAGAGAAAGCCCACAGAGATCCTTGGTAACAGAAATATGGTCTAAACATGGTTTTTATAAAACCACGTAGTCAGATAATTAGATTGTTGGTAGACAAGGCTGAAATAAACAAAAATGAGCATCAGTAAACTCTGGTGGGAGGACCAGGTTGGCTCACTGGTAAATAAAGGTTTATCTGCACATCCCAGCTTTGGAACACGAGCTCAACAATTGTCACGGTGATCATATAGACCAACAGCCTAAAGCAGTTATCTTTACAGGCTAAGTCTGTGTGACTTCTCATTTTCTAGATTTTAAAAATCTAGAAAAATATCACGTTTTCTAAATGACTTCAGATTCTTTTCTATCTAATTTGTGCATAGAACTTGGGCAGGGTCATCCTTCCTTCTCACCAGAAATGACCGAGTCTGTCAAGGGAAGAAAGCATATCTGCTCTTCTTCCAGGACTACTGAAGTGTCACGTGAGCAGAACAGAGAAACGCAGGCATCAAGATGAGAGCACCTGAGCAAACACAGCAAAAAGGAAGCCAAGAGCGGAGCTCACGAATGAGAAAGTCAGTGAGACAGTGACCAGGCAAGTCTGTCCTAACTCAGCTAACCGCAATTCTTCCCTCCTGAGTCGATGTGTAACGATACGGTCCACAAACAGCCTGCAGTGAGCTCCCGACAGCATACTATCCCGTTTGGAAAAAGCCAGGACGCATTTCAGTGTCAGGAGCTCATCCTAATACTCACCTCTCAGGAAAAGAGTGCAGGCCAAGGGCGGAGCATCAGCTGCAAGTTCTGCATGAGGAGCAGAATGTGCACACTGGAGTACCCACGCATGCGCAAGAACAGACTTCTGTGGTTTCCTCATCTGAACCTGTCCAGTCAAGCTGTGGGGAGCATGGGGTACTCCCCTGGGGCCTGCCACCCACAATCAGGTCCTTACTCTCTCTCCCTGCAACCCTTACGCGGCAGGCAACAGCCTCAAGTTGTCCTGGTGGAGACACAGTGACGTCTCAGCTCTACATCCCATCTCACCACCGGCACCAGCAAGGCAGCCAGCAGGAGAGGGCGGTTCAAAGTGACAGAAAACAGTGTGCAAATGAGCCAGGAAATTTTACCAATTCAACTGAACTTAAGAAAACCAGAATAATACATATTCATCATCAAAATTAAGAAAAGATAGGTGGGGGGCTGGAGAGATGGCTTAGTGGTTAAGAGCACTGCCTGCTCTTCCAACGGTCCTGAGTTCAATTCCCAGCAACCACAAGGTGGCTCACAACCATCTGTAATGAGATCTGGTGCCCTCTTCTGGACTGCAGGCAGAGTACTGAGAATACTGTATACATAATAAATAAATAAATCTTTAAAAAAGAGAAAGAAAAGATAGGTGAACATAATTTAAAACTAATAATAAATAAATAAATCTTAAAAAAAGAGAAAGAAAAGATAGGTGAACGTAATTTAAAACTATATGAAACAAGAGACCACAAGCCACGTATACAAAGGCTCCACATTAATTATGAGCCTAAGTTGATGGAGCATAATTTTGAAATGCTTGAGAGGAAACACAAGGAGCCTGGCCCCTTCAGTGAGGGAAGAGCCTCCTCTGTGAGACACACGGTAGAACAGAAGAGGCAGGTGAATTAGCCACGGTAAACACAAACTCCTAGTGCTGGGGCTGTGACTCAGTGGTAGCACCTGCCTAGCACTCCCAAGGCCCCGGGCTTGATCCCCAGCCACTCACACAAATAAGGATTAAACAAGAACAAAAACTCCTGGGCCCTGGAACAGCACGAGGAAGGCGGAAGGGATGAACTGCGTTCCAGGGTGTGTACCACACCTGCAACCAACAAATAACAGTACAGGAGGACGGAGGCGCGAATAAGCCAGGCGTGACGGAGGGCACACGCCTTTAATTCCAACTCGTGGGAGGCAGAGGCAGGCATATCTCGATGAGTTGGAGGTCAGCCGGGTCTATATAGCGATTTTCGGGCCAGTTAAGGCAACATGGCAAGATTCTGTCTCAAAAAAAAAAATGTGAATAGATAATTCACAGGACAGAAATACCAAATGTTTAGGAAACCTGAAGAGATGCTCTATCTCCATATCAGGAAAAGTAACCACAGTATTTACATCCATATGATCAGCAAAGATAAGCAGGCAGACACCATTAAATGTTGGCAAAGCTGGGGAGTAACGTGAATTCATGCACCCTGCTAATGCGGACATAAATAAACAGGAGGAAAGTGTGAGAAACTCAGGCTGAGGGTGGGGATACTTCCCACAGAGGCAGCTGTCCTCCCTGACACTTCAGACATAACCCTGCATATGTGTCTGGAGAGACATAGTAATGATCGTGTAAATAGTGCTCATAGTAGGTCTACATCAGGCAAAGCTCAAAGGAAAATCACCCAAAATGAAGAGATTAGAATAATCAATGTGGATACATCTCAAAATGTATGGGGATTGTTATGGGGGGGGAGCAAGCTACAGAATGAAACTTAAACACAAAGTTTGAAACAGAAAAGGAAACATATATACTTGGCTAAGCACATACATAATAATAATAATTATAAACCTGCACAGCTTAATAAGGTAAATGCCTACAAGGATTGTGGCGAACACCTGTCAGGTTTCCATTTGTAGGACTTCCTATTGTGTGAGCTTGGTCTAATGCACAGGACAATCTGGATAACACTATCTACAGTTTTATGTGCTTCAAATACTTTATTAAAG